TTCTGTTAACCCATTAACACGTCATTGCAATAGCAAGCTGTGAAGTCTCAGTATAAAAAACTTACCCTGAAACACTGTAAATTACAATTTCTTGACTTAAATCTGTCTAGATCTTCCAGCTGATGAAGGCCTGATCCCTTGACATGCCACTGTAACCAGCTAACTATTTTCGAAGCACCTGCATGCCAGCATTTATGCTAAGACCCAGCACTGTGCTGGTGAGGGCCGTAGAGGTCAGTTTACCACTGCCTGTAGTGGTGGCCCCGTCTTCTGGTGCAGCCCGTCAAAAGAGAGACTTGAAATGTGGCAAATTTCACAGCCACCTAGCACCTGTTGGTGAGCTGAATCTGTTCTTGGCCCATAAGTGAACCATCCTCATTGCCAAGTTTAGAGAGGTGATTCTGTGTTTGGACACACCAGCAGTTCCAGTGCAGTTCCTTGCTCAGTCACGGAGATGACCAATGCTGTGCTCTGTGAGGCCTTATTCCCTTCTAGATTTTAGATACCTATGTCCTTGTCACAGTTTCAACACTGCAATTTGGCCCAAGTGTTAAAATTCCTTTAGACCCCTCTGAAATGACAGCACTGTTTGCCACCTGCCCAACCTGCTAATCCAGACTAAGTCCCACAGCTGGATTTCCCAGCCTGACTCAGGTACAGAGAACCACTCTCATCTTTGTACTCGTTCTCTCATGGAGATTTCCAATGTAGCTATTACTTATTTGCAGAAGACCTGTCACCTATCCTAGCAGAAACAGAAGTCCTCTAGCTTGATGGGAACTTTTGGTGCCAATCCTAACACATTTTTGCATTTTGACTTGAGGAGTTACATGTGCCTTACAGGTATTTTCTATTTGCGCAATACAGACATCATTATTGGTGAAGAGCATGAAAACTCGTATCTTCTGAAAATACTTGCGTTGCTGTCTTTTAGACAGCTCTGATTCAAGGTACTTCCTAGTAGCATGCCTCAGCAATGCTTGTTTAGAAGATCCCCGATGCTTCCTCACTGAGGCTGAAATGTTCATGCACAACCATAGCACCTCATGCCCACAGGTATCTTTTGTGTGAGTGGGTTTTGCGGCTTTTTTGGGTTACTGATGTCCCGGTCAGGTGAGCTTGACGCTAAGTATTTTCTCATTTCATAAGCAGTTTAGGGCTTATATTGACTGTAAACATGTTTGGTTGTTCCATGCTATGCAAGAGAATAGAACACAGAACAAAAGGAAAAATGCAAGAAAGAGGATAATGAAAGTTTTGATTGGTAGGTTCAAATGGTAACAATAACCATCTCAAATAAAGCTCTCATAATTTCTTTTCAAAGAGATGGGGAAAAGCAGCTTATATCAAATCAACACATTACTCTGCTTCTTTAAGATACACAGAACGAAATTTCCTCTTTTCTCCCCCTGCAAGCAAAACTCTGAATGTACAAAATGCTCCGGAGCAAAAGGGCTCCAGACTCGTAATGACAGAGCTACAGTTTTGATGCAGCAGCTTCTAAAAAAAGACAGCAAACCCTCCTGGGCTGCTTCTGGGACAGACAGCAGGTGCAGCTGGCAGGGTGTAGCAGTGAGGCTAGGGACTAGATGCAGGATGCTCACATGAAATACTGCTTGTGGCACTCAGCTACATACTTCTAACATGGCTCCTCTCACTAAGTGAAAGTCAAAGAGAGCTGTACTTTACACTGATAAGATTTCTGGTTCCCATTGCTGCAGATTCCTGAGAAACAAAACTGCTGGAATTATAAAAATAATGATGTATTCAGATGTGGAGAAAGTAGATTTAATGTTTAAATTTCCATCCACAGGTAAGGGCTAGGATCTTTCTCCTGCAGGCAAGTACAAGGTCATTTTGCTTCACATTTATTTTGTTTTGTTTAGAGACAATTCCACTGATGATTTAACAAAATACAAGCCAGACTCAGAGAATTTCAAAGGTCTTTTTCCCTCTCTGCAAGTATCTGCATGACCATATTTAATTCAACAGGAGGAAATCTATACACACAGATTATATTTACACATACCTGATCAGTGTAGCTCTTCCTCTCCCCTTAGCACCTGGATGCATGGTATTGTTTGTGAAGGTCCTTTAGTTCTGCCCTCCTTCTTGATCTACTGGGAAAAAATCCTTCTTCTTCAAGAATTACCACAGTCACAGAAATGCAAGTTCTCTTCCAAGAAAATGTCTATGTTGCTATTCTCAATCTAATGGAAGTAAAAGCAGCTGACACACTGCTGGATCCATGCAGTGAGATGAGGCTTGGATGACAGCAGATGAGAATCCCCAAAGCAAGGAACAAGGTTGGAAACTACTTCCAAGTTAAAAGAAAGAAAAATCCCCAAACCCAGCTCAGAATTTCATTACACAAACATCACAAGTGATAGGAACTGATGGCAGCAGAAAACAGGGAGCACCAATGGCTAATACTGGTATCAAACCTCTAGTCATGAAGATAAAAGACTGAAAGGACCTGGGATTTGCAGACTGTCAGGATTACAGCTGTGTTCATGAAACATACCCCCAGTGCTGACCTTGGGAAGCCTCTAGCAATCAAGAGTGTAGTTTTGGGGCAAGCCAGGTGTGCTCAATGTCAGCATGGTGTGAGCACCTAAGGAAAGTGTGATCCTTTCAAGTGGTTTGTCATTCCATTTGCAAGTCATTCTCGCCTATTTTACAGCTACACAAGGGTTCCACACTAGGGAATCTTTTTGAAATCTGTGTTTTCCCCACCCACCCCGAATTTAAAACACTTTTGATAGCTACTTTCCTTCCAATACCTTTATCTGAAAATACTAACGATTGCCAGATAATATTGTTGCATCTGAGCTCTGCTTATGCAAGACCCAGCAATGAGGGGGAAAGTAGGTATATTGTGTTTCTTTGGTCCTATGATGAGCTGCCAGCAGTGCAGAAGTAGAACTGGCTGCTACAGGTCCCTGAGAGGTTGTGGCGGGCAAGCTGTGAGACTCCTTATGGTGTGAAAACCCACTTTTGTCTATAGTGTCTAGAGGTATTATGACATTTAGACTCACACTTGCTATCTGGCTAGGCATGACCAGAAGAGTGGACATGAGCTGAACTGACTCTGGGATCTAACACAAAACTCTGCTCATTGTTCCAAAACATTTAACAAAACAGGGAAAATTCATCCATCTTGTCTGAAGTAAGTGGAGTAAAACAAGGAACTAAGGCTGCTAAGCAAAACCAGAGATTTCAAATAGTGTATGTTATTCCGTGATACTGTCTCTGCTTAGCACTGTTCAGAGGTAGTGCACAAATGCAGCATTACTAAGAAAATGTAAACAAGACAATTTGAACATTGCTTAGCAGAGTCAGGTCCATTTTCTGAAAAAGAAACCCCAATGTATAGGTGTGCACTTAACTGTCATGTTCAGTGACTGATACTGAACTCGCATATTGGGATAGAATTTCTTGATGGTATTTTTTAACTGTCTTCTGATATCCAGATCTAATATCTAATTAGATCTATCTTTGGCCTTAAGGTTTTTGCAATTAACCAAGTTACGTGCTTTTAGTGATCTCTGCATCTCTGCAGAGAATTAAGGTCTGCAACAGTTTTCCATTCCTCTCTCCATGCAGTATTTCTGAAAAATGGCTTTGATTTTGACTTTTGAATGCAGTGTTCACAGAGAGCTGTTCAGCAGCCACTTCAGTACAGAATATCTAAGATGACAGAATGAAATGGGGTTTAGCCTCTTATTGAGAGCAAACCTTAGGTTAATCCCCAACTGGTAGAAAAATGAGCAGAAATCAGAAACCTTTCACAACTGACAACTGAAAAGACATGTCCCAAAATACTAATCTTTAATTGATGCATTGTTAATTCTAGGGTTTTCTTTAAAGGAATTATCCTGGGAATGCCACCAATAGCGTTAAATGATACTTATTTGTGTAACAACTTGTTTAGCCCTTTATTTATTTATTTATTTATTTATTTATTTTTTACCTGAAAATGTATTTTCTTAGAGAACTTATAACCGCATTTCTCCATTATCAGTTCATTTTCTTTTCCTCTTTCCTGGATATATTGGCCAGGAAAAGGAACTTCCAGTCTATAATGGACAGTTTAATTCACATGTTTTACTTTGTCCACATAGAAAAATGCAATTTCTGGATCATTGAGGCATATGGATTATGAACAATACACTCCAAAAACTAGCTATCCAGACGGGGATATACTTACAAAAACCTTTTTATGTCAAAGTTAGGATTTCACAACATAACACACTAATGCAAAATCCAGTAGCACCTGATAGATTAAGGTAGCTGCTGCTGTCACTTGCACATACTTGAAAAAGATTTAAGGGGAAAAAAAAAAAAAAAAGAGTAATACATTCTCCAGAGAATAGCAAGTGTATTTCAAAATAAAAAACTGTGGGTTTGATTTCTTTTTTCTCTCACTCTCTCTTTTTTTTTTTTTTCTCCCCTATTTCTGTATTTCTGTGAGGCTTATGGTAATTCTTTTGTTGGCTTTTTTTTTTTTTTTTTTTTTTTCCAAGACTGTAGTTGCCATGTAACAAATTATACACAAAGTGACTGCTCTCCCCTCCAGTGCAAGTTCACGGTCATGTTTTCAGGCTACAGTACTGAACACTGTTTTCTTGTTTACATATTCCCATAGTTTCATTAAAGATAGATACAATGTACAGTACTTGTCTCTGGAACAGTAACAATTGAAATGGGAAAACCTTTACCTTAAAACAGAAGTGAAGAGGCTACAGTAGGTATAGCCACCTAGGTATGAACTTTAGATCACAATTGCTAAATACTTGCCTACTGTACATAAGCATTAAAAATAGTCTTAGACATAGGATTTTATTTATATGTGCACGTATGTCCACCTCATCCCATATTTATGTTTGGCAACTATTTGGGAATTCAAAGGTGCAGCCCTCAGTAATTGTATTATTTAAAAAAAAGAAATGAAGCTTATCTATTCTATGAGAAAAAGAAATTCTCAAATATCAATTTCCGATTTTAAATTTAATTTCAATAGGAAAATATTAAAAATGTGCACATCTAAATTTTTCCATGTTCTGTATATACATATGTGTGTGTACTTATACATAGAAATGCTCATGTACCACACATATTCACAAAATTTAAGTGGAAATATTTCTGTCCACTATTTTCCCCACACATATGACATCATATCTTTAAAAATGTCAATAATAATATCATTAAAAATAATATTACATTTATTCCATCATTATGTTTTTTTATTCTTTCTTCATCCTTATTATGTCCACTGAGCATTAACAGGCCAAATTCTCCTTGCACTTCCATGGATGTTATGCCAACGGAATGTTGCTGACATCACATCAAGGACACATCTGGTTTACAGCAGCACAAGTGACAGGAGAATCAGGCCCAAATATCCCCAGGAAAATTAAAAACTGGCTGTATCTGCTCATATGGACCTGATGAAGATATACACATCACTATCTAAAATCCCCTGAATGATTAACATGTAGCTCACCACAAAGTTTTCAACCAGTAGCACAATGAAACAAGCTCCCCCCACCCCTTTAATAAATGTGAGAAAATACCCTAAAAAATATGGAGAAAGCGTAAACATTGTGTATATTACATACCATATAATACATGACAGTTTTAGCATTTAACCTAAGCCACTTCCCTGACTAGTCAGGGGAGACCTGATAAATCACCAGTTAAGGGAAAACAAAAAGGTATTTTAGAAATAAAGCATGTCTTTCCAATATAAATGACAACCTGTGTGTATTATATGGTATATACACACAGTACATACATGAAAACAAACTTATCTTTTCTAGTTTTGAATACCAGTCTCTAAGTGAAGAAAACTGTGTTCTACAAATTTAATAAGCAGCTAGATTTCATGTTTAACATTCAAATTAATTTGGGGAGCAAATAAAGGTTCGTGCATCTTTCAAATCTGAGGTCTGACACTCATTCATACATTTTAAAAAAGCCCTCTTCAGCATTACAAGCAATTTATGGCAAGAATGCACTGTGATGCAAGACACATGACAATTGGCTTACCTTTCAAAGAGTTGGGTTTTTTAAATAAATCTATTATATAAAGAAATGTGTGTTTGCTAAAAGTCTGTTAAAATTACATCAAAACAACTTTAAAACCTGCTCACTGAGGATAATTCAATTCAATGTCCTGTTTTTAAACACTTGGTTAACAGTTCAGAATATTGCCTGGTGTAGTTTTGATAAAGATGTGATATGAAGACCCATAAAAGAGTAAACATGTCTTCAGTTCAATTTGCTATGACAACAAAATTTCAAGAAACAGCCTTTTTGGCTAGACACGTTCGGTGTATGAACAATCTCTTGTGGTACCTCTGTGCCCTTAATGAATCTGTAACAGAACAGTGCTCCCCATAAGCCATTATTCACAGAACATCTATGTCATGTCACATTCTGAAAAAGTCTCCTGCAGAACAGGTTAACAGCAAATTGAACATTCAATACAAGTATCAAGGCCAGAAGACAAATGACTGGCCATTCCTTGTTATCTGTGCAGGTCAAATTTAAAAACTTAAATTTATGTTTAAAATTCTCAGGGAGGTTTGGGCTTTTTTTGTGGGACTCACCTTCTATCACTGGTTGGCTTCAAAATTTAGTTAAGTGGAAGATACCGTCTCACTGTGATTACATGGAATTCATATGAAAAACTAAACCTTACATTGGACAATATTGTAGAACACCAAAGCTCCATAAAGAAATACAGTATCTTCCAGTATATATGTATAGCTCTTAAAAAAATCAAAAAACCAACCAGCCAACCAACCCCAAAAAACCAAAAAGGAAGAAGTTTATACAAGCAGTTATAGTAAATTTGTTTCAATTAAAGATGCAACTCTCTCTCATTCCTGGCAAGAATAAATTTGTTCCGGCACTGCTTCTCCACAGTGCAGCATATCCTGAGAAATTATTAAGAACAACAAGATACAGGGCTGCCATCACTAAGTTCTTGCACAAAACACAGCATTTAAATATCTTAAATAAAACAGCCAATAACTTACATTGTATCTCACATAATGGAGTCCTGGGACACTGCTAATTCTTCCATCACTGATAATTAGAAAAGGATTGCATTCAATTATTGTTAATATCTTGCAAGTTATCTGTGGCCAATAATGTAAAAGGAGGTAATTTGTAATTCAAGGGGTTTTTTTTGTATTTTTTAATTCAACTGGCTACAAGCTGAGTTTTAAATTTTACATTGAATTACAAGTCAAATTTAAAACAGTCCCTCTCAGAGGAGCATTTTCTAATTTTGTGCAACTTTGATGCAGAGCCCAACACAGTCCTATGAAGAGAGACAGTGCATCTTTAAGCTGATTGGCACTGAAATCCCATTTTCTTTAACTACACTCTATTAGCTTGGCCAAATTATCTCGTAATTCTGTTAGTTCAAATATTTTTCCATCAAGAATTTCTAAAAGTGTCTTCAAGTTATTGCGAAAAGCTTCTTGCTCATTCTGACTTTTCTCCAGACGTTGCTCTAGGTCAGACAGCTGTCCTTCCAGGTCTTTGTTTCGAATTTCTACTTCCTTCAGAGAAAATACACAACATGTTAATGTGTCGTCTTCAAAAAGAAAGCAGTCTAACCTCCTGTTGGTACTTATGTGCTTTGTCAAGTGCTTTTTAAAATAATTTGTAAACCTTTACAGTTTTCACTAAGTCAAAACCAGAACCTGAATTGATACTACAATTGCATATGTACTGCCACTTTCTCCATTTTCCCATAATTATGTGAAGGGTGGAAATTTCTGGAGAGAGACGAACTTTAGTCAGTAAACAAATAATACACTCATTCAGGTGTGTTATCACTTCTATCATTCAGAAGTGTACTGCCTAGTGAAAACATATTTTCAGAGTTTACTTATGTTCAATCATGCCCTGATTTAGACTCTATTAATTGCTCAAGGACACGGTTCTCCATCAAAAGTTCTCATGGCAAAACCCATTCAGAACACTGCTCTAGAGACAGAGGAGCACCACCTTATTCCCATCTCACATTTCAGGCTTTGCACTCTGAAAATTAAGACAGGAGCATCCATACACAGTGGATGTCAAGGTGACTGTAACAAATGTAAAGCAGGAGGTGCAAGCTGCACATTGTGCCTCACTGCACAGCACCCACCTGTGGAGCAGGGACAACGGGACAGCCACCACTGCTGAACAGGCATGCCATTCCCATGCAGTGGGGAAAGATGAAGTGGTGGCGTGCTGGACACAGCCCAGGGGGCCTGACCCTGAGCAAGCTCAGCTCTCACAAGGAGAAGCCCTTGGTGTCAGCCCCTGGGACTCCTTGCAGGTCCAGCTTGCACCTGATGGGGGATGGTGCGAACTGCTCTGCCCTGTGCAAGCCAGGTGCCCTGTGTTCAATCAAATCACAAATGTAACAGTCACCTAGGTCTGGAATAGCATATTGTTCTTTGTTCTATTCATTGCACACCTCATAAATTCATGCTAAATTTTGTAATTTCAGTTACAAGAATTACTTTTGAAGGCAGCACAGAGACAGTGTGTTTAGTACACTATACACCCTGTGAAGACATCTCTAGAAAAGTGTATAGTGAATTCATATTTATGTATGGTAACATGTTTTTCAACACCTCCTCCCTTTACAGTGGGTTTGTGTCACAAAGCTTTAACTGGCCTGCTCTGAGATTTTACTACAACTAGTTTTACAAAGAGGAAGGGAGATTTGGCAGCAGCCAATGATCGCAGCATGAGCAACTCCTCTTTCAGCTCTCCAACTCTCTCACTGTTTTTGGTGTGATTCTTCACTCTCCCTCAAGGCTAAGAAATATATCCATGTTTACATTGGAAAGATCTCAGCTAACCGTAACAAACAACCTGAAAACATATTGGGTCACTCAAGAGCAACAGGTGTGTAATGGTGGCCCTGTGTCAAAGTCCATGGCCTGAGAAAGGTATCCACTTATGAGGGGTTTGCTAGCAGCACCAATTGAGCACTGCACCCCTGGCCAGAGGAGAGATGGGGTGATGTGGCCAGTGCACAGTTTCAGCTTCCAGCCTGTGCAGCAGGGGAGAGTTCTGGACCCCCAGCAGTGGTGCAGCTGGAGAAGACAGAACATCAGGACATTCACTGCCTCATAGCTGTGGCTGCTTGTGGAGTGAAGGGTTACCTCCCAGCCAAACTAAAGACCTCCCTTACTTACTCCCTTACCTTGTTTGCAAATGGACAAGTAAAATACTATGGAGTTTTGGGCACCAGCCGGCACACCTGAGAGCACAAATTACCCCTTATTGCCAGGATCAAGAGAAGAATTAATTTGTTTAGCACTGAATAATTTAGTTGCCAAAGTACTAAAAGAAGCTAGCTGGATAGAGCACTTGTAAAACATAAATAACATCATACATGCTTATGTAGTGAATAGCTCCCCCGTGCTGCCACAAACGAAGAAGACAACTGGTTATAACCCAGTAATACCATGCAAAGGCTCTCCTTCACTGTGTCTACTCCTGCCTTCCAAGCCAAGTACTAACAAGTACTACTGGTGTAGTGATTGCCCAGGTTCAAGACCCTCTGAGGGTCAAGTGATTGCAGTATACGACATAAAAGTGAAATTCAAGGTCCTCTCAGCTTTGCCAGAGTGATGCAGTCCTTTCTTTAGAAAACTGACTGCTGTTTTTAAATATTTGCCCATCCTGTCATTGCTTCTCTTCCAGTCATCGAATTTGTGTGCTCTAGGAAGTCTCCTTGCCACTGCTCTTACCTCAGAGATAATTAATTCCTGTAAGCAGGCAAGCCAGTAATGAAATAGACCACTTCGGGAAAAACCTATAGATACTTACATGGCTTTACATTGTGATATCTGGGCCTAAATAGAGCATTCTGTTGGCCTGTTATTTAGCACTGAAGAACACCTTTCAAGCCCTTCTCAGACATTTTTAATGAAATATGCCAGAAGCTGTTGCTTTTCATTTCTGGAAAATGCTGCTTCATAAATTTACATTTGATCCTTAAGCATATTTACCCTAAATTAGTATCAATGCTTTTTGCAATATTGTTGCATTGTAAGTTCATGTCTAGCTCATATGCAATTATCTGTTTCAAATCAGTCAACCTCAAAACTTGCTTCTTGATTGGAAGAGATAGATTATGTGTAATGTAATCTATTCCCCTAGCTTTGCCGTTTCCCTTTACAGCTGATCTCATCCAACAATAAATTGACTCTTTGGTACATTCGGGTGCTTTGCAGAATGTGTTTAGCACTTGTTTTTTTTACCATAGGTTTTTTCAAGCTCTTCTTTCATCAGATGAAATAATTTCTCATAGTGAATAATTTCTCTTACAGAATAAATAAATCATTACTAGTTTGTTGTTTGCACTGTAACAATCTTTTGCAGAATTCAGTGTGAGTATTGGAATAAAATATTCAAACCATACACAACAGCTATATTTAGGAATCAGCCATATTAATAAAGATATTCTGACCTACTGTGAGAGTCACACTGATCATGACTCACATATGACTTCTCTACATTACTAATGGAATTATTATAAAGGACCCCGATACTTAACCTTCACAGTAATAACATATTGTTCTTCATTAGTTTGCCAATGATTGTTATCTAATTAATTCCTGATATGCGTGTATCAGAAATGCAATACACCTTGAAATACTAATTTCTTTGTATAGCCTTTTTCATAGAAGGTTTTTACCAAAATATTTTAAAGTTACATAATCTACTTGCAAAACACATGAGGGAAAAATAAAGCACAAGAACAAAGAGTGAGAGAAACAGATATGAGCACTGGAGAGAAATCACTCTTAAAATAAATGATGAGTCAGGTAAGTGAACATATATGAGACAGTGTGAAGCTATAGCAGATGATGTGACAGATGTAGGGTGAAGTGGCTCAGAGAACACCAGTATAATCAAAGCAGGACAATAACAGCAAGGCACAGAGTCAAGATCGTTTTCCTGGGCAACATCAAGGCAGTAATTAAGTTTAAGCTTAATAAAGACACCTTTTAACTCAGATCCTAAGTGATTCTTTAAATTTACTTGAATAGAAATGTATAGAACCATTTCCAGACACAGATCACTTACAATGTGACATAAGGACATGTATACAAAATATATCCATTTGGTGATGAAAGAATCACAGAATCAAAAATGGATTAGGTTAGAAGGGACCTTAAAACAATTCAACAAAGGGTTTAAACCCTTTGTCTTGGCCAGGAACCCTCTCCACTAGATAAGGTTGCTGAAAGCAACCTAGGCTCAGACACTTCTGAGGGATGGGGCATTCATAACATTTTCAGGTAACCTGAAGCAGTGCCTCACCACCATCACTGTACAGAATTTCACCCTAGTATCTAATCTGAACCTACATTCTTCCATGAATTAATGAATATGAAGATATTATTCCTTGTCCTATCACTGCAAATCCTGATGAACAGTCCCTCTCTGGCTCCCCTGTAGGCCACTTTGAGATACTGAGAAGTTGTTATGAGGTCTCCACACAACCTTCTCTTCTCCAGGCTGAACAGCCCCAACTTCCTCAGCTACCTTCATTGGAGAGGTGCTCCAGTCCTCTTATCAGCTTCCTGGCCTCCTCTGGGCTCACTCCAGCAGGTCCATGTCCTTCCTGTGCTGGGACCCCAGAGCTGAGGCAGCCCTGCAGGTGGGGTCTCAGCAGAGAAGAGCAGAGGGGCAGAATCCCCTCCCTGGCCCTGCTGCCCACGCTGCTCTGGATGCAGCCCAGGACACGTTTGGCTCTCTGGGCTGTGAGCACACACTGCTGGTTAGCGTTGAATTTTTCATCTACCATCACCCCCAAGTCCTTCTCTGCAAGGCTGCTCTCAATCACTTATACAAAAATATACCAAAATGGAACTACTGACTTTATAAGGTAAAATTTTAATACAAATTTACCATTTCCTGATGTTTCATCTCTTACTAGTCTCATAATCCTACTTGCTAAGGATGGTTAATTCCTCGCTCACTGTTTCTTTTCATATGATCTTACAATAAAATTACTGTGTTTGATACTGCTAGAATGATTTCCAGCTCTTGTTATAATGTCTCTTTTTAGTCTCTCACATGAATGCCTTTTCAGATGAAAACTTGTACTTTTAGCCTAAAGCCAGCAACCATTTTTGCAACAGGCAAGGTCAGGTATACTCAAAATACTCTTTAAACACTGCTCAAAGTAATAATATATTTTGTGCAAACAAGTTGACGTAAGAATGGGGAAAAATTAATAAACTCATTTTGATCTTTAGTGGTTTATTCTGTAGGTTAAAATTTGATTCATAGAAGTTCCAGTTCATGTCACGCATTTCAAAGAATACCTGCCTAATGATTTTTATGCTGTGGCTGTGACCTGATGGGGCTTGCTTTCAACATATGCTAAGCCATAGAAGAGAAAGGATCCTCTTTCAGCACTTTAGGATTGGAGCTATTTAATACCTGAGTTTCCAGTTCTTTTAAAACTCTAAAGGCTGAAACCAGAGTGTATTTCACCCAGGCCTTTGGTCAGCCTTGTTCCAGAGGCAGGTGTGACAAGGAATGTGGCTATGTGCTGGCTGGTCAGTGCAGTGACGGACAGGCATGAGCTCAGATGGAGCAAGGGAGGATATCATGAGAGAACATCAAATCCATCAGCCTCAGGTATCTGACATTACACACAGTAAGAAACAACCACTGAAAAACAATAAAAGAACAATGTTTCTAAATAATTCCAAGAAAACAAAGAAAATGTGTTTTTAAAGCCTGTACTACACAAAAACACTTTAACCCTTACTTTTTCAAGGCTTGTTTAAAAGCTGAACACAAACTCATCCCAGGCTGATGATACATAGACAGACAGCTTCAGCGGCATGCAAAAATTATGGGAAGATGCTGCTGTGAAAATGAGACCAGAACTGTCCAGGACATGTATCAGTGAAGGATGTTTGCTAACCTGAGAGTACTCTGTGGACTCATAAAAACAATGTGGTTTGTTTCCTCATATAAAAATAGCAATTTACAGCAGGTAGAAATTTTTATACAAATTCCTAGTCATCCCAACCCAGCACATACAGAGCAGTCTAACTTACACATTCATCTGACACATTGAGTGAATATAGCACAAGTTGCACATGTGAACTGCCCACTTGCTGATAATTTTTCCTTTTTCTCTAAATTAAGATGATGCACTATAGCTCACCTGTAACTTCTGGGTCAGAGAATCCCTCTGTGCCTGGAGTTCTCTGGCATTTTCAATTTCTTGTTTCAATCCTTCTATTTCCTAAGGGAGAAGAAACAACCTTGCTAGCAATGTGTTACCTGGCTTGGCCTCAGTGCTTGTAATCTGGCTGGTGCTTCTTCTTCTGAGCAAGTCAGTGCAACGATATCAAAACTGGCAGTTGGCTACTACCCATCAGATAACATGAAGTGTAAGCCCTGCTCCCAGTACTACTGAATCACAGTCCCAAAACAGCAACTCCATTGTGATTGAGCAGCAATAGACACAAGCATTTTCTTTTATAAAAGTCCAAGTTTTCTTTTCCCCCCAAAGAGATATGAAATAATTCTTGCCTGAAAAATTAAGGCCCCTTGTAATTAAAAAAACAAATTTATACTTTAAATTCTACTAGAATCTACTGTTCTCCTTTTTTTCAAGAAAAAAGAATCCAATTTTCAAATGTAAACTGCTTATTATGTCACCAGCAGCAGGGCTGAACACCAAAACAACTGTCTGTTATGATCAATTTCTGTAAAAAGAGAATCTTAAAAGAAATGGCATATTTAACTTAGCAATTAGAATCAGGTATAAAAATAAGAAATATAGTTGAAATAACGAAGAGAAGAGAAACCTGGTCTTAGCTTACATTCAGGAGACAAGAATAGAAAGAGTTGATGAAACTAAATGGTATCAAACTTAAAACTATTAAGTACTCTTCTCCAGACAGACATATTCACCTCCTAGAACTCCTTTTGGCAAGATTTCTCTGCAGCCAACAGCCCAGCATAATTCTAAAGTGATTGACCAACAAAATGGGAAACATCACTAAGCTGAGCCTAATCTGTTAAGTCACAGGGAGTTTGGAAAAGACTTTGTTCCATTTTGAGAGGATATTCTCAGAGGATATTGTGCCTCTCCTGCATCCTCCTTGGAAACACCTCATGGCACTGAGGGAAGGCTCACTGCCCCTCCATGCATACGTGCCAATGCCCATGGTCTCTTACGTGGGGCAAATAATTCCTCCTATGCAGCTGCTTCCATCTCCTTTTTCCATCCATAAATGGGTGATTCTTGGTCCTTCCGTGGCACAGATATGCTTTCTTTTGGGACCTATGCCAATGCAGGTGTTACTCCCATTCTTTTTTATTTACTTGCTGCTGGTCCAGGCCAAGGCACACGGCACAATAAATACCAAGTTTCAGGCTGGGGGCTTGGCATGTGTTTAAGGAAATTGCTGATCTTATGGACCATAAAGGTCAGCTTTATCAACAGAGCCTGAAAGACAGACTGGCTGGACAAAGGCATTGATCTATTACTTGTTTCAAACACTATTCTCCAGAAAAAAAGAAAGCATGCCTAACACAGCTTCCTCTCTAAGGCAATCTGGACTGCATCAGTGTGATAATTGCCCTGTGGAAAACACTTATGACTTACTTTTGCGAACAGAGACATTTGGTGAAAGCAAATTGGAAAGCAAGATACTTTTTTTGTTGCTACCCAGATACCCAGCTCTATATTGGACTGATGTAACTATATAAATGAAAAATACTAACGATTTCAAAGAAGTCGAAAAAAGAATTTACTTTGTAACATTTATATTAAATAATTCAGTATCTAGCAGCCATCACAAGCTAAATATTGAAAGGCTTTAGAAACAATGTAATAGAAAAGCAAAAAATAAATGTTGCAGGTACCTCTTCTTTTTTCTTCAGTGTAGACTCTAATTCCTGTATTGTCTGGTTTAATTCTGTTTTATGTGTGTGGACTGCATTGGCTTGACTGCTCACACACTCTAGCTCAGTCACCTGAAATAAGTAGAAGAAACATATACAGAATTAGTTTCAATATATTCAAGGTACTATTACTTCTTTGCATAAATAGCTGCCTTTGAAATACACCCAAACTTCTGGATGACTCCTGTTGATTAAAATGGTGAAGGTGTTCTTGCAAAGTTAGCATAACATTCCATAATATATTGTTATGTAAGTGGTTGCTATGAATTCCTGGAAACAAACAAAAAAAATTGTTACAGGCTGAAAAGAACACTAATTAAAACTTATGCTAATTATTGAAAGTTTTAAGAAAGTTCTCAATTACCACTTGATGACTAAACACAGATCTGTCTGTCTAACTAACCTCTCCATCTGACACCTTTTCATGTTCTACCACCTTACAAAGCCACAATGTTCACACACTTCCTAGAAAGCCAATTAACATTTCACAGCATCACTTTCTGACTCGGCATCAACAGTGTAATAGCAGACACTCAGCCACCAAAGTACAGCTGACAGCTTCTAACTTTCCCTAGTAATGGAGCTCATCTCTTAGTCACAAAGGCAACAGCTAATGTCACAATTTGGATTTGCTCAGTTCTCCTTTCATTAGCAGACAGCAAGCATGCTCCATCTGCCCTTGGATCAGTTAAGATACCTGGCAGTGGTATGCACTTTTGTTTTATTTTATAATCAAAAGGATGCTAATATTCTGCCACTCACAGATAAACTGTTTCAAAAAGCTGCTTATGTTTTGCTTCTGCAACAAAGAAACAAAATCCATGCAGCTAGAGTCTACACAGAAAAGTTCAGGTACCTCTCTCATTACAGGTTATAATATTAGGGAACTCTCACACCACATGTCTGCCTGGATGTGTGCACTAAAACATCTTTGTTTAATAACTAAAATCTAATAACAGTTGTTACCCCAGAAGTTATGAGCCTGTCAATCCTAATATATTTTTTTTCAACAGAGCTGCACCTGTACCTACAAATTTGTCCCAGAAACTCCTCTGAACAAAGTGCTAGTTAATTCTGCAACAAAAAACTTTAACACTCAATTTAACATTCTTGGAGAGGTAGCCATTAGACAGAGGGCAGACATTTTCCAAGACAATTTTATTTCTTAAGTAAAATAACATCTCAGGGAATCAAGGTTGCTGCTCTCCAGCACTAATGTCCTCAAGCTAACAAAGCCACTGTTATAGCAGTAATTTCAGACTCTAAACTACTTGTAGGCTCAAAAGGTAGATTACTGAGTCAAGTCCAAGGGAAGTCAAGATGAAATACAAGGAAATTAAAACAACTTCTTTCTGTATCACAGGCCACAAACCTCTCCTTTGCAGTAGCCATGATGAATCTAGGTTCTTCTGCTGAAAAGCTAAAGACATTTTTGCACAAGGTTTATAATGGAGAGAACTGAGATTAGAAGAAATTCTCGGAAGGGGGTGAAAGGAATGAGGAAGTCGGATAGCTGGTAATGCAACATGCCCTGTCCACCCCAAAGAACTTTCTTATTTGCCGGTATTTTCCCAAAAGGAATACTAGTGCTCATGACAAAAAGGAACAGTAATTCACTTAGTTTTATGTGCCACTGAGCATTACAACTGATGTCTTAGATGATTTTCTCAATTACACATATATACTTGCATTTAGATTATCGTAATACTCAGTGTTCACCACCAAAATTACACAAACAAGAATTGGAACACATTGATGAGGACAAACCTTTGTCCGCACAGTGTCTGGCCTAGCATCTAGAGAGAGGAAGAATCAGAATGGCACAGAGAAATTTAGGCTGGAAAGGGACTGGTGGTCATCTGGTCAAGGCCTCCTGCTCAAAATAGGGCCAATTTTGAGGTCACATTTGCTTGCTCGGGGTCTTGCCCAGTCAACAATACTTCACTATCAAGCAAAACTGTGACAGTTCTGACATTGCAGGTTTATGAAGAGCTCTAGTTCCTTCCTAAGTTTTGCTGGAATTGTCAGTCATTCACCCCTTTCACCTTCAGCCCTTTTGAAGTTTAACTTCTCAAACATTTCCAAGCTTTCCTGCTGAGATGTTGAATATTAACTTCCAAGAAGACAATCTCTCTTTTAAAGCTGTTGCACTCAGCAAGACTCGTGGCCCTTACCAAGCCATATCACAGAATGCTCATTCACAGAAAACCTCAGCTGGAGACAAAAGTAAGCCCAGTCCCCAAACTACCTCTGTCGTAGAACCTCATGCCTCGAAGCAAGCCTGCAGAGGTCTCTCATCCTATGACTAAGGAAGCACGTGGACTCCCACTGTTCTCCATATGATTTCCTCTTGGGTGGTACACATAGAGAGGATGTAGGTATTGGTGCAACCTCAGAATCAAACTGTTGGATGAAATGTTACTGTTCTAGTTGCATCTATTATTGATGGTTAAAAACATCTCCTGCAGCAGCCCTGCCAGGTGCACAGCTCACATGAATACTCCCAAGTACACTCTGGTCCATACTAACTCAACACACTTCTTGAAATTGCTTAAGCACAGAAGATTATTCTTAAACAGAACAGGCTGTGCTCCTATAAACCTTCCCAACAGAGGCAACTGTGCTTAGAAGGACAATTAATTACCAGCACTGAAAGGGCTGTGATGTCTTACTCTAGTCCAGCTTTTCTCTGGGCAAACCTCCATCTCTTACTGATTATGCAAGAAAATAATGTTCAACTGTTTTGTTTGCTGTGATTGAAAATTAAGTAAGTTGGGAAGAAAAAGAAAAAAACTCAATTAAAAAACTGAGTTAATTTAATCAGTTTTATTTAAATGCTGATTCCTACAGAGATCTGAAAAGATGTCAAATATCTTCATGTTTTTATCTTCTTGAATGTACCTATAAAGAAGAAAAACATATTGTGACCCTTTCAAAAATATCTGTAGAGTAAGATGGACTGGAAAATTATGTGATATAAAGAATATGCAATTGAAAACAGAAATAACAAAAGATAAAGCTCTAGGCAAAAATCTGGATAGCATTTACTTGCTCTGCTTCTTGTTTCAAATTGCACTTAATTTTCTCTTGACCAGTGGTCCAAAAATCATTACAAGTAACTGGTTATGCATTATGCACAGGAGGGGGCATAAAAGGAAGTTAAAGTTCTTTAGCCTGACCATCCCACAGGCCATTATGAGGGACACCTCCTTATTCAATGTTTCAGGTTTAAAAGCAAGGCTCAATCAATCCTTCAAATCCTTGCACAGCAGTATCTAGCAATGTACCTGTGATTATACCTCATTTTGAATAGAGAATTCAGACTGAAAGAACAGTCTTTGAACAGTAACTGCCTAAACAAAGTCCTGCTATTGTGCTACCATAAGACTGCACTGACTTGCATATCTGGAAATGTCGATAGCTCTGGCTTCGTGTTTGAGACTAAAAAACAGAAAAGGTACTGTTCTTAGACTCTGTTTCTTTACTTTGTATTTATCATCCAGGTAAGGATTGCATGTAAGGAAAACATTCTGAAAAGGCTTTTTAGTGACTATTTAGTGTGCAAACTCTTCTAGCATGTGGATGGCATTACACTTTACTGCCTACTTCAGAGTGAAATACATCCACTGAAGTAGGACAGCAAGGCAACTTCTTGTGGTATAGAGCCTAGACCCTCCTATCAGAGGCCATTCTAGAGCTTTCTGGAAATTTTCGTCTAGGTCCAACAACCTATAAATGCAGTAGGATTCCAGGAAGAGGTTTTCATTGCAGCAGAGAACTAGCACACTGGGCTGCTGGGAAGACTGGAGGAGTGAGGCTTCAAGCCACATAACACAAGGAGTAACAACTTTGGTGTGAGCTTAAGACAGTGGCTGCCCAAAGTTTCTGAAACTGAAAAGCAAAACTGAAAAGACTCTCAAGAAAATCCTGACGACAGAAAATTACTTTGCAAGCAGAGACTTCAGGTAGACAGCAGCAAAGTAGTGGGAATGACACAAATATTTTGAATGGTGACCTGCCCCAAGCAATTATTGACTAAATGATTCTGTGCTGTGTTTGCTCCAGCTGGATTCGTTTTTTCAAACCACTTTCTTGAGATGAATTGTACAATTCAGTACCAACAGACAATGAAATTCCTTTTTAACTACATACAGAAATTATTCCAGCTCCTACAGAAAGGCAAGACAGATTAGAACACAGAATCCATCTAAAACACAGAATCCATTGCACAACTCTAGAATATTTCAGGTTGGAGAAGACTCTTAAGATCATTGAGTCTAACAGCTAATCCAGCACTGCTAACTGGACCACTAAGCCATGTCTCCAAGAACCACATCTACATGCCTCTCAAACACCTCCAAATATGGTGACTACATTACTTCCCTGGACAGCCTATTCCAATGCTTGACAACCCCTTCTGTGAAGAAAGTTTTCCTGCTAACTAAACTAAAACTTGCACAACTCAAGGCCATTTCCTCTGGTTCTCTTGCTTGTTATTTGGGCAAAGAGACCAACCCCCACCTATAGCCTCCTTTCAGGCAGTTGTAGAGAATGATAAAGTACCCTCTGAGTCTCCTCTTCTGCAGGCTAAACACCTCCAGCTGCATCAGTTGCTCCTCACAGGACTTGTGCTCCAGACCTGTCACCAGCTCCTTTTTCCTTCTCTGGACTTATTCCAGCACCAAAATGAGCTTCTATCATGAGGGGTCCAGAGCTGGACACAGCATTCGAGGTGTGGCCTCACCAGTGCCCAGGACAGGGGGACAATCCCTGCCCTGCTCCTGCTGGCCACACTATTGCTGAGCCAGGCCAGGATGCCATTGGCCTTCTTGGCCACCTGGGCACAGCCTGGCTCATGTTCAGCTGCTGTCACCAGCACCCCCAGGTCCTTTCCAGCCACTCTGCCCCAGCCTGTGGCACTGCCTGGGGTTGTTGTGACCCAAGGGCAGGACCCAGCACTGGGCCTTGTTGAACCTCCCACCATTGGCCTCAGCCCATTGATCCAACCTGTCCAGATCCCTCTGCAGAGCCTTCCTGCCCTCCAGCAGATCTGCACTCCCACCCAGCTTGGT